AGCCAAGAACACAGTAAATAACGCAAGCAGACAGCCCTCAGAATGGGAGAAGATTTTTGCAAGTTATGTCTCTGACAAAGGTTTAATAACCAGAATCCATAGAGAACTCAAACGTATTAGCAAGAAGAGAACAAATGATCCCATCTCAGGAAGGGCAAGGGACTTGAAGAGAAATTTCTCCAAAGAAGATCGGCGCACGGCCTACAGATATATGAAAAAATGCTCACTATCCTTAATCATCAGAGAAATGCAAATCAATGCATTTTGGAAATGCAAATCACCTAACTCCAGTAAGATTAGCCCATATCACAAAATCCCAAAACCAGAGATGCTGGTGTGGATGTGAAGAAAAGGGAACAATTCTATACTGCTGGTGGGAATGCAGACTAATATGTTCCTTTTGGGAAGACGTTTGGAGAACACTTAGAGAACTAAAAATAGACCTGCCATTTGATCCTGCAATTCCTTTATTAGGTATATACCCAGATGACCAAAAACCACATTACAACAAAGTATTTGTATCAGAATGTTTATTGCAGCCCAATTTATAATTGCCAGGTCATAGAAGAAGCCCAAGTGCCCATCGATCCACAAATGGATCAACAAACTGTGGTATATGTACACCATGGAATACTATGCAGCCATACAGAAAGATGGAGACTTTATGTCCTTCATGTTTACATGGATAGAGCTGGAAAATGTTCTTCTTAGCAAAGTATCTCAAGAATGGAAGAAAAGGTATCCAATGTACTCAGCCCTATTATGAAACTAATTTATAGCTTTCATAGGAAAGCTATAACCTAATTATAGCCTAAGAAAATGGGGGGAGGGGAAGGGGGGATGGGTGAATGGAGGGTGATTAGAGGGATCACTTCTATGGTTCATCTTACAAGGGTATAAGTGAATCTTTCTAAGAGTACAATATAAACGTCTTAACACAATAACTAAGAAAATGACATAAAGGCTATGTTAACCAGTTTGATGAAAATATTTCAAATTGTGTATGAAAACACCACACTGTACCCCATGGCTGCATTAATGTACACAGTTACCATTTAATTTTAAAAAATTACTAATAATGGGATTGGGTAGGTAAGGTCTTAATGCTATGGTAAGGAAAAGGGTGGCAAAAGTTCAGGTATAAGAGATAAAATCATCAATGTAACAATAAAAACTCCTAAAACAAATGCAAATTACTCAATTTACTAGCAATTTGGCCTGGGGAGTGTTAAGGGGGTTAGATCCCTACCTCACACTTTTCACTGACAATAAAATTCATATACTTTATAAATTTAAAATATAAAATATAAACCATGAATGTCAGAGGAAAACACAGGGGTTATTATCTATATAAACTTTCCCCACAGAAGGATTTTAGGTTTGATACTAAAAAGCAAAATTCACAAAAGATTTGACCACATAAATTTTAAACAAAACATAAATAAATACTATATAAGGTCATTATCTAAAACTCTTAAGGAACAACAAAAACTACCACTAACAACGTAGAAAGAAAGCAGAATCATTTGGAAAATTATTTGCAACATAACAAAAGATTAACATATTTAATAACAGAAAAAGCTTACCAATAAGTAAGGAAAACAATAACAAAATGGAAAAAACAGCATAAGCTGTAAACAAGGTATTCATAAAGCAAAGAGTCAATACACATTTAAGATATGCATATGTTTATAGAAGAACAAACAAAATGACAAAACTTCTAAAATAATACCCAAATCAGCATGATTTGGAAAGCCAACATATTACTGCTATCGCTGTGATTAATTTGCAGTGAAAGGGGAAAAAATGTGTTTAAGAGGAATATAACTGATTCTTCACTTTTAAAAAAAAGTTACAGTTATACGAAACTTTGTGAGAAACCTAAGATGGTAATAACTGAGCATCTTAGGTCATCACTAGGAGCAGTAAGCTGGTTACCTGGCAGAGAGTTTGCATCCCTGCTGCACGAAGGCATTCAGGTTCCCGGTAGCTGCAAGCAACAGCCCCAAGTATGGAGGAGAAGGTTTCAATGGCCTTGAAGAGAACTCCGGATGGAACTGGACACCAACAAAATAGGGATGATCTGAAATGAGAAGAATCATAATGAAACTGAAGCAGACCAACATAAAACCTGCTGTAAAGGTCTTCTCATCTTTGAATAAGAGAACTCACAAAATGGTAAGGTGGCTATTCAACTTATCATCACAGCCACTTTCACCATCCATTTCTGGGTGGAATTCCCAATTACAAAACACATCTCACTGAATAAGAGATCCCAAAATTTTACCTTACCTGTAAGAAAGTGTTAGGATGAGCAAAGTCAGGCAAAAACTTTGGAAGGGCAAGAATTCTGTTTTCCCAAAATCTACCCACATTTTGTAGACTTCCTTTGGCTCTATTTCCCTGGTATTCCCCTAGCCTTTAGGCTAACCTGGGATCATTCTTTCTTTTAGACAGCTTTAGGCCATTTATCTACAGGTCATCTCTTTTCCAAAAGGAAGAGTCCTCTGGGATATGCCAACACAATGCTGACCTGGCTTTTCTAGTCATAGCTTTAACTTGGACTTTAACCATAGCATCATGAAACAGGATTTTTTGGATAAAGTGATTCAGAGCAATGATCCATTCATTTAAACATTTTGTCCCTGGTTATGACTCAAGCTCAATATAAGAAGTTTCATAAGAGGATATAAATCTAACTTTAAAGCTTTCAATGTCATGCTTTATCAGACGATCTAAAAATTAGTATGGAATTCAAAATCAGAAATTCCCATCACATAAATAAGATGCTGGCTGCCCTTAAAGAACACACCAGTTTATGGCTGACACATAGGAATGTTCTCTCTTCTGCGATAGCCTATGAGTCAGCTATAATTGCAATGCCTGCATCAGAGTTTTGTTAAGAATTCTTTCCTTCTCTCTGAAACACACGTACCATGTTCACGGGTCTTTAGCAATAAGCCAATTCTCTCAGAAACTAATGGAGAGTTTTACTCCAGAGACCACCAGCCTCTGTGCATGAATTGGTAGGTCACAGAAACCAGACAACATTCTGATATTAGCTGGTGCTAAAGACTCAAAACTACTACTACAGTAATAAAGAAATGATGATTGAACAGAAATAAGGCTATCGTTCAAAGCTTTGCTTTGCCAGGCACAATGATTCACACCTATAATCCTAGCAAACTGAGAGGCTGAGGCAGGAGGATTGCTTGAGGCCAGCCTGGCAATATAGTGAAACACCATCTCTATTAAAATAAAAACAACAATAACAATAATAATAATGAGAACTCTGCTGTACAAAATGGTAGCCACTAGCCACATGTGGCTCTTAAGATCATTTAAATTGGCTCGGCGCCTATGGCTCAAGCGGCTAAGGCGCCAGCCACATACACCTAAGGTGGCGGGTTCGAATCCCCAGCCCGGGCCCGCCAAGCAACAATGACGGCTGCAACCAAAAAATGGCCAGGCGTTGTGGCGGGCGCCTGTAGTCCTAGCTACTTGGGAGGCTGAGGCAGGAGACTCGCTTGAGCCCAGGAGTTGGAGGTTGCTGTGAGCTGTGATGCCATGGCACTCTACCCAGGGGGATAGCTTGAGGCTCTGTCTCAAAAAAAAAAAAAAAAAAGAAAAAGCCTTGGAGGGATACTCAGGAACAAAAACTTGGTGATGAGAATGCTATCTTCTCCCAGGAATGTGTCCACTCAATTAAAGAAGAGAAACTACCAATACATAGAAAAGAAATTAAATAATCAAACTTTAAATTTAAGATATAATACATCTTACATCATCGCATCTTGGGATGTCTTTGAAAGAAAGCAGACAGTAATTGTGTTTTTATACCACTGCAGACAAAAGCTGAGCAATGAATTGTGTCATGGCCAGGGACAAAATACTTATAATAATGGATCATTGCTCTGAATCACTTCATCAAAAAGTCCGCTATGCATTATTATAATAAAAATTAAAAATTTTCATTTTAGTGATAGTCTATGCACCTTTAAAATAATGCTCTTAAAATATAAATAAAATAAAATAATGCTCTTCATTGCATGGAACCAAATTCTGACATTAATTTCAAGTGTTAGTGTTCCTTTTAGAAACCTTTGGAACAGTGGAGATTCACAGAAATGTTTCTCATGGGTACCTGAAATTAAAGTCTCTTGGGAAATTTTCCTTAATAAAATTAATTCCCTTGCAGTGAGCTTTGAAAAAATTCCAAGGTTTTACAAGAAGCTCTCATTTCTTTCCAATCCACATGAAATTTTAAAGTATCAATGGTAATCTAAATCCTTGCAGTAAAAGAAGCTTCTAAGTATTTGCTGACAATAAAATAAGAACCAGGACAATTAAAAGAAAAGAAGTACTTGAACAAGTAAACAAATAGTAATTTGCTTGTGGATTGCTTGAGTTCACAAGTTCAAGACCAGCCTAAGCCAAACCAAGACCTCCTGTCTGAAAAAAAAATTGCTGGGAGTTGTGTCAGGCACCCAAAGTCCCAGCTACTCGGGAGGCTGAGGCAAGAGGATCCCTTGAGCCCAAGTTGAAGGTTGCTATGAGCTATGACACCACAGCATACTACCAGAACAGCACTCTACCCAGGGCCCCAGCTTGAGAATATGTCTCAAAAAAAAAGAAATTCTCTGCCTTCTCACTCCTAGAAAAGACTTGAGGCTTCCACATGAAACACTGATCCACATTTTAATTCTAAATGATGAGCATTTCTATCAGAAATGCTCCTGGAACTATATCCTTACTATTTTAATTCAAAACTCCAGCCATAAATTAATCACCTTAGATGGAGGGTAAAATTAAGAGGAATAATAAAATCCCACAGGGGTGTTGGCAGAAGGACAGGATGACCTGAGTTTGCTCTGAACTAGATGAATGGCCCTGGACATGTTACTTAACCTCTTTGCACTCTAGTCTCACTTCCTGTAAAGTGGGAATAGCACTGCCAGCTTTGTTCAGTACATAAGGCACAAGGTGTTCCTATCAAGAGGTCTAGTGATGAGTGCTTTCCTTCTTTTAGGATCCAGATAAAACGGCATGACATTCAAAGGAGCCTTCTCAGACTTCAATAAACAAGAGTGGCTTATCCACCATATTAGTGTCACATACTCTGCATAGTCAGAGTTCTGTCTTTCTTAGGAAGTCTTGGAGAGGGAATGGCCTAGAAACAGGAAGGAGGGCAAGTCTGAGTGTAAGTTGCCATGCACTGGGAGTAGCATGGTAAGGATGGGAAAGCAATCCCAAATGCAGTCTTTCCATCTAGATACAGATCTGCAGGACTTGACCACTGATTACAAGTTGAAGGCATAAAGGGGAAGAAGAGCTAATAGGTACAATTTCAAGCCTGATGATCTAAAAGAATGGTTCTCCACAAAATAGCAAATGTGCAATGTGCCTCCCTGGAACATTTGACAGAGATGTTTTAGGTTGTCAGAACTGGGGTTGACGTTGTAATACTGGCGTTCAGTGAATAGAGCCCAGGGATGCTGCCAAATACCTTATGGTACACAGGATAGCCCCACAACAAAGAATTATTCTACTCCAAATGTCAATGGTGGCAAGGGTGAGAAACCCTGGACAAGGAGACTGCTAGTAACTTCAGAGAAACAATCAAGAAGAACAACTAATGAAGGCAAATAGAGGCAGTCCCCGAGTTACAAACACCCTACTTAGATACAACCTACACTTAACCATGGAGACTATTACAGAAAGACCCCAAGACAAACATTCGCACTTACAAACAGAGGTTATTACCAGTAATAGAAAAATGTACCTGTTCAAACTTAAGTGGAAATTTAACCGAAATGTTAAATTAGAGTTAGTTAAATGAAGTGCATGCTCATGGGTCTAGGCCAGAGGTTAGCTAATGTTGTTAAGAAACAAGTATTAAGTATTTGAGGTTTTTCAGGGCACCAGGTATCTTTCCCAGCTACTCAACCAAGGACAGAACACAAACGAACAAGCATGGCTGTTGTCAGATCTCAGGAAACACCACCCCAAAGTACTTTGAACTGAATATAAGGGGAGGGCCTCAGAGGCAAGAAGGCCACTCTGACCTTCCCCTGCCTCTCTGAATAAAAGCTGGCCAGAAAAAAGATTTCTGCCCTACCTTTCCTGAAAGTAGGGCCATAAGATCTTTACCCCAGGGGGGTCCTGCTCCATAGCTGGGGGGAGGAACTGCCACTTAGAGAGACCAACAAAAATCTACACTGACCAGACAGCTGGGTTTCCCTCCTCAGACAGTTATTGGCATTAGGTCACACCCTTTATGTCCAGTCACACTGCCACACAGGTGGCAATTCTTCATGGAGCTAAGCATAAAAGTAGACCATTTCCCCAGGGTGTCTGGGTCTTCATTTCTGAAGATTGCCATGACATGTAAAACTTTGAATAAACAAAATTTTTTATGGTTTGCTCTTCTTAACTTGACTTTTGTTAAGGGAGTGTCAGTTGTGACCTTTATAACAGGTAAGAAAAATGTTAACAGGTAACAACTTCCTACTCCCTACACTGTGTTCCAATAAAACTTTATGGACGCTGAAATTTGAATTTCATATAATTTTCACGTCATCAATATTATTGCATTTTTTCCAACCACGGAAAAATGTAAAAAGCATTCCTACTTTATAATCCATACGAACACAGTGAGCAGGCTGAATTTGGCCTATGGGCAGTGGCCCAGTTTGCCAGCTCCTGGGCAAGAATGACAAAGCAAGGATTTGAGAAAGCTGTGACTGTGGGCTTTTGCATCCTTGCACAGCTAAATGAGAAGAACTGCCTTCTTGTCAGTAACAAATGTACACTTTGTGTCTGTCTTCTCAGGGGTGTCCTAACCTGGCCACAAACAACTTTTTTAGTATTCTTCCTTGACAGAAGCTCAGTACCTTTGCTTATGTTCTGTTTGGTCTTTTTTTTTTCTTTTCTTAAGACAGAGTCCCCTCCACTACCCAGGCTAGAGAGTGCTATGGCATCATTATAGGTCACAGCAACTCAAACTCCTGGGTTCAAGCCATCCTCCTGTCTCAGCCCCCTGGGAAACTGAGACCAGAGGCACCTACCCCAACGCCAGGCTAATTTTTCTATTTTTAGTAGAAATGGGGTCTTACTCTTGCTCAGGCTGGTCTCCACTCCTGAGGTCAAGTGTTCCTCCAGCCTCGGCCTCCCAAAGTGCTACAATTATAGGTGTGAGACACCATGCCTCACCTCTGTTTGAGCTATGAAGAAATCTAAGGGCAGTGAAATGACTATAACTCTTGCTTCACCATGGAGCATGAACAATAGGGACCACAGCCCTCACACAACAAACATCAACACCGGTCCATCAGCAAGGTAGGTACTTGGCCATTCTTCCTCAAAGGAGGAGGGCCAGAAGAATGTCACTTAACAGTGAGCTTTCTGCCTTCCCCTGAGTACCTAACCTCCAGACTAGTGTATAACAGAAAACACAAAGAGATGGGTACAGTAAGGAAGCATGCTGCTCAAAGAAGCTTATAGAAATGGTAAAATCCAAACAATATACCATTTTATGGTAGATTCAGACTAATAGGTCCCCAAATGAGTCAGATTATAAGCAGTATAATTTTTTCATACACTTTGTAGCTACAAACTTTTTTCAAAGGAGCGCAGAAAAGAAAGAACATGAACAATTAGTCTGCAGACAACAAAAAGATGTCAACTTAACAGAAAGCTTTACATAAATGAAGAGCCCACTTACTTGCCAATTCAAGGATTTCCATCCTCTCCCCATCCACATCCTGACCAACAAAACGTAAGTCACTATGCTCGAATCGGTTGATCATACTAGGGTTCACCTAGAAAACAAGAAAGTGTCATTGGGATACACTGCAAGATCAGCAGATGAAAAGGTTCTTCATCATTTGAGTGAGTTTTCCAATGTAGTGGTCCTCTAACTATATTCAACACCCAATGTCAATTTTAAACTCATGATAAACCTGAGATATAAAGTCTAATCGAAGCACCTAAATCTCAGAGGCCCACCTTTGATCACTCAAAGATAAGACTCAAAAAGTCAGACTGTGACCAAGATATTCTACAAACCTTGAAACTCTGTATAGCCACCCCAAAATTTGCTGCTTCCCTCAATTTATGTTTACTTCCACATCCCTCTCCAGATCACAAATTTGCCTCGGGATTGATATTATCTCACTTCCCTTATGACTAACCCCAATGCTTTCTTCACATGTAGTTACATAAAAAAATTAAAGAAAAGCTTGGAGCTATTTTTTTCTATTGTTAATAAAAAAAACAGTTAGAGATTACAACTTGATGACATGGCTCAAGCCCCTTCCTGCACTTATCTCATCACCAGCTCTTTCCCAAACTTTGGATCTCCATTTCAGCTTCTCCGTCACTGAAAGTGCTTTCCATATAAAAATCACAATAGAAGCAGGATTATTGGCAGTGGACACTTTCAATCCCAGTGTGCAGGAGGTTAAGGGAAGAGTATTGCTTTGAGCCCAGGAACTAGAGTCCAGCATGAGTAACAGAGAGAGACCCATTTCTACAAAGAATAAAAAAATTAACCAGGCATGGTGGCAGGTACCTGTAGTTACAGCTACTGAGAAGGTCAAGGCAGGAGGATTACTTGAGCCCAGGACTTCCAGGCAACAGAGAGCTACAAGTGCACTCCAGCCTAGGCAACATAGCAAGACACATTTCAAAAAAATAATAACAACAATAACAAAATAAAATAATTTAAAGGTGGAGTCTCACTTCTCCTTTGCAATCTTTGTTTTGTTGTTACTGCTTTTTGAGACAGAGTCTCACTTTGTCACCCACAGTAGGGTGCTATAACATCATAGCTCACAGCAACCTCAAACTCTTGGGCTCAAGAGATCCTCCTGCCTCAGCCTCCCCAGTAACTAGGAATATAGATCCTCACCACAACACCTGACGAATTTTTCTATTTTTACTAGACATGAGGTCTCCCTCTTAGTCAGGCTGGTCTCCAAATCCCGAGCTAAAGAGAAACTCACACGTTGGCCTCCCAGAATGCTAGAATTACAGGCGTGAACCACCATGTTTCACCTGTCCTTTGCAATCTTTTTTTTTTTTTT